AATGTATTCTATACCTTTTTTTTTTTTTTTTTCTGGAAAATTTCGCCCAAGGGAGAGCGTTGCAAAATGTATGTCTTACAAAGTAGTCAGAGGCACGAAATGTTTCGAAACTTATGTAGCTGTTCTAAGGATTATTATTATAAAAGGATAAAATATTTGCATATTATAAAATGTACTCATCTACATATTTCCGATGGCAATACGATGCCACTGCAGTACCCTTCTCTGTCGTAAAGTGAAAACAACGAATTCCAAGAAGGTCGATCGTAAACGCCAGTAGGGCGTGGCTGCACCATTGTTTTAAGACAATTTCTCTAAAATATATGTATTTCTTCTAAATGTAATGTCTTAAACGCCATATTCCCAACAATGGTGTTTACCAGGCTAGAGCAGATGGTCGTGTGTTGTCCGGGCAACGCCCAGTGCTCCGCCCTCGGTCAAATCTTGACCTTTGATGTAAGCAGACGAACATTACTTTTTCCGCCAAATTTTTTGAAATATCTTTAGGTTTAAACTAAGATAATTTTAATTAAATATATAAACAACAAAAAAGGCATATTCTAACCGCTCGCGTGAGCATTTTAGATAGCAGAGCGTCACCTAGTGGAACAAAAAATTAACTAGACGTTGATTTAACTTGTTCCGCGATATATATTTTTTTCTATTTTTTTATTATTTTTTCACACACATATATATATATGAACATCTCTCTCTCACACATACACAACAATAACCTTTATGCATTTTTAAAAGTCTACACTTTTATCTATTACATATATAAGTTATATCGTTAAAATGTTCACGATGAAATAAGAAGAGTTCTTAAAAACTTTCTTGATTAATTCAATTTTTTTCTATATGAGGGAAAAAATCAAGTAAGAAACAACAAAGGTATTTGCATATCGAACGGCTCTAAATTTAAAAAATCAAAGCAATCGATTCTGAAAGATTTTTAAAGAAACCAATGTTCATGGCGTGTTAAATTTGGCACGGAGAGAACACTTGTAATAAATAAAAATGGCAACATTGGAAGGCGAGAGAGCACGAAAAATGATCATTGTACAAGCCTAATAGACACTAAGCACGGGGGCGGTTAGTGTTTTGTTATGCAAATTAAAAGTTTTAAGGACTCCCTCCTGCGAGACTAAATATCCTCTATGAATCACCTCGGTGCAATTCTACCGAGTCTGAATCAAGCCCGAATGTCTTATAACCAGAGAGACTAGTATTTCATAAAATTAGATATAGTCAATTTCATCCTTTAATTCTAACCGAAAGTCAATCTACCTCATTTTTAAACGACAGCAAAAAAAAACTTTGTTGTTAGCGTTCTGCTCCCCAGGAACCTAAGTAATCAATTGCAAAATACGGGAAAATTCTGTGAAAATATGGAATTATAATAATTATTAGCGGTTTTTTCTTTTATATTTTAAAAGACAAATTTATATAAATAACACTAAATAAAAGATGAAATGTATATATATATTGGGAAAGCTTGACAGAAAAGTAGGTTTTACCATAATGCTGATTATTTATTATCATTATTATTTTATTTTTTATTTTTTTGCTTCAAAAAGACGGACAAGCGCATGTTGCTATGACAATTATATAATAGGATAATTTGTCTCTAAATCGATATCTTTCAAATTTAAACAAATACTTAGTTATATATCCTTGCTTGTCAATGCTGAAAAAACGAAAAGTGATGGGGGGTGTAAGAAAACATTGAAAATGTTCCACACGGGAGAAAACTATCTTGTGGAAACTTTGCCAACTCCATCCAGTAGAAGATTTATTGCCCCATTGGATGCTAACGATTTCCCCAAGAAAGATCACAGTCGTTTAAAAAAATCAATCTTTCTTCCCACTTTTTATTGAGGCAATTTCATCGATTTTCTATGATTATTTTAAAGCATTTTCTAAATGAAATGAATAGCTGTAATTTCCTTCCCATTACTTAATCCAATAACAAGAAGTTTAATTAAATTGCAAAAGTTTGCTTATTTTAGGATATCGTCTAAATGAAATGAATGAGTTCTGCTGTTAGGATGGTTTAATTAGTTAGATGTTTGTTAATTGGATTTAGAAAAAGCTCACTCTTTCTCTCTAAATTCCTAACTTCATTACACCTTTGAATCATTTTTCTAAATATACCCCAAGTCACGGTAGACTATTAAAATATATTGCAACTTTAACACACGTTTTGTAAAATTATACTTTAAATTTAGCGTTTTACCTTTTTAAATATAAATATATTCTTAAATTTAAAAATTAATAAAATAAACGATATAAAAAAGTATTTTCTCTCGAGTATGTTCAAAAATAATTATCAATGATTTTAAAAACATTTTTGACCCATGTATTTAAAAATAATATTGAAATCGGCTGCTTTTTTAGAATGTTCTATTATAAATGTGACAAAGCTTTAAATAGTTCTCTATTAAGATCTATTAAAAATTAATATTAAATATTGATAAAATGTTATTTATATTTTATAATAAGAAATATATTTTTATATTTTAAAATAAATGGTATTTTTTATGTACACGATATGGTATATTAACTTTATTATACCTCCAAAAGTACTTGGGTTCGTATATATTATATTTTAAAATTTCGTTTATTTTAAACGCCTATTATAAATATATATTAATTCTATCAAATTATCTCCTTTTATTTTATAGTAAATTAAATTGAAATTTTATGTTTATATTATTTCTATGTCTACACATAATATTTTGAATTTTTTCAGAAATAAAATGTAAACGTTTTAAAGTAATATTGATCATTATATATGTTCTATATATAAATCTTCACAAATAATCCTTCTTAGCATTTATATAATTACCAATATTTTTCTTTAAAACGCGCGTCTGTTTTTTTTTTTCTGAATAAATTCTAGTGTTTTTTTTTTTT